ATATTATTGAGGTAGGAGCACGAGTGAGGTAGGGTCTGCTTCAAATGGAGAACTCCTTCATGGAAAAGTCGTACTAACTCCGAAATTTCGCCTAGCGCGATGGTTGATTCTGTTCCTTTATTCTGCAGCGACCCCTCTTAAAGCATTCTAGTGGTAAGCCTAGACTCCAGCGCGCTTGAGTTGGCACAAAACAAGATCAAGTAACTGGGTAAGGCATCGTTCCCAGCAGGGTTTTTACCTTAAACATTGTTCTTGTCTACGGCGCATCGTTCCGCAGCATTAGTGTTGAAGGTAAAAACCCTGCTGGGAACGATGCCTTACCCATTTACTTGATCTCATTTTGTGCCACCTCAAGCGCGCTGGAGTCTAGGCTTACCATTAGAATGCTTAAAGAGTGGTGGCTGCAGAATAAAGGAACAGAGTCAAGCATCGCGCTAGGCGAAATTTCGGAGTTAGTACGACTTTTCCATGAAGGAGTTCTCCATGTGAAGCAGACCCTACCTCATTCGTGCTCATACCTCAATAATATCAACTACCTATCTTCCCTTTGGGGGCGGAAGTGGTGTAGTGGCAAGTGGCACGCTTACCACGCGAGCGGTCCGGGGATCAAATCCTGGGTCGTGAGTCGCCCGGGCCAACCAAGCCTTCCATCCCTCCGGGGTCGGTTAATTGGTACCAGACTTGCCACATCGCATTCAAACGCCACTACGAATGTACAAATGGAAGTAGAATGCGTGCCGCATCCCAAAAAGGGATTGATCAACGGCAAATGCTTTATCCTTTATCCTTTTATCTTGTTTCAGGAAAGTACCTGGAACCGATTGTGAGGGGTGGAGATAGCATAAAAAATCCCCGGAAACTTTTCGAAAAGAGAAATCCTGCTCCTGTACATTTCAAAAAAAAAGTTTCTTATAGATCTCTTGATAACTTCACCCAGGATACTTCGCCCTGAAAGTACAGGAGGGAGGCGCATCGGCTCTTAACTAAATTCTCCGTGATTTCCTTTATGAAAGGTCAACTCTCTCGTCAAACATTCTTAGACCCTTTCCACCAGGTCAATCCGCCCATTGCGCAAAGATTAACGAGGGGGTCGTATTTGGCCGACGGAAGAGGAGAGAGTTGTTACCTCAAATGCCATTCACAAAATTGAGCAAGTGATCTTTGGAAAAGTTCAGGCACTTTTTCGAAAGCGCTAATCTTCTAGTTTCTAATTAGCCTTAGACATCTGCAAAAAGTTGATAATGAAGAAAGTTATGAATGTTTGAATGTCGAAAACTCGCGTGTGCACAAAAAACGGACGATTTTTTGAAGAATTGAACATTTGCATAAGTTTAAAACTTTTTAGAAAGAAACAATTTGAAGTTTCAAATTTTCTATCCCATCTCATGAGACCGCTTCTTAAGATAACTTTTGAATGAAGAGGTTTGTATCGTAACGTAATTGCTGCAAGGTTCAGTTATTCAGTTTATAAAAAAAGGAGATTTGCGAGTTCGAAAAAAAAAAAAGGTTGGTTTCTGAAAGTAGAAATCTCTGCGATTACTACCATGCCTAGGTTTACGCAAAAATTTGGAGATTACTTCTATTTAATGAGTAAAATTTCACAGTT